GTGTACAACCAATCAATCTTTCAACCTGTTTACAAGCATCTCTGGAAACCAGAAAACTGTGTACAACCAATCAATCTTTCAACCTGTTTACAAGCATCTCTGGAAACCAGAAAACTGTGTACAACCAATCAATCTTTCAACCTGTTTACAAGCATCTCTGGAAACCAGAAAACTGTGTACAACCAATCAATCTTTCAACCTGTTTACAAGCATCTCTGGAAACCAGAAAACTGTGTACAACCAATCAATCTTTCAACCTGTTTACAAGCATCTCTGGAAACCAGAAAACTGTGTACAACCAATCAATCTTTCAACCTGTTTACAAGCATCTCTGGAAACCAGAAAACTGTGTACAACCAATCAATCTTTCAACCTGTTTACAAGCATCTCTGGAAACCAGAAAACTGTGTACAGCCAATCAACCTTTCAACCTGTTTACTAGCATATCTGAAACCAGAAAACCGTGTACAACCAATCAATCTTTCAACCTGTTTACAAGCATCTTTGGAAACCAGAAAACCATGTCCAACAATACTGCCCTTTATACTGTGGACCTTGATTTCTGGACAAACAGAGTGAAACTTGAATTGAAACTTTGCCTTGCCATGAATTTGTATCAGTAGTCTTCAACATGTTGTTCAATAAGGTTAGTTCAGTGGAATGATTTGTTTGAAACCTGCAGTATTGTAATATTGCAGTACAAAGCTTTTTCTAGGTTTCCTAAGAGATATAAAAATGAACAACTGCTGCAGTATTGGAAGATCTTTTTATACTGACATCAAATTACACTGTTGAATCAAAATGAGATTAGAAATGTTTTGGCAAATGTTTCTTTAGCTAAAAAATTTTTTTTTATGTCTTCAGCTCTCCTCAAATAAATCGTTCATCATTCTCATTTGCTGCACCTGGGGAGAGCTCGATGTCATCTGCAGGTGTGTTGGAGCTTGGCATGTCAGAAGAAGGTGAGTCATTTGCAATAGTGATCTGAAGACAAATGGAAGAGTAAAAAAAAATTTTGCATTGAAAAAACTAATTATTATGGTAACTCCCATGAGTGACCAAGACAGAATTTCTCCTCATAATACTAACACAAGGTCAACTAAAGCAGACAAACGATCAGAATAAAGGAAATTACAAATTAGGGGATTATTAGTTGATCAAATACCAAATTCTCCTAATTAACATCATAAGAATTGTGTGACAAACAGTAAGGAGAATCGATAATGAGATCTTGTGGGGTGAAAGGAAGAGTTGTTGCCCTTATCACCAACACTGAAATTAACACACCGGTAAAACTTGCTTATTGTTTTATAAAACAGCTTTAAAATATGTTTTAGCTTTGGCATTAAGAGGGTATAAGTGTTTCATGTTGCTGTCAGTCATGGAGAGGTGCACACCCCCTAGGATTCAGGTTGTATTTCTGGGATAAAATGAGAGAATTTCAATCCATTTTGTGTAAGATGGTCACTGTGATGATGTGATTGTGACTGACACCATCATGAAACAGAATTACTTGTTGACATTTAACCTCAACCCTTTGTTGGAGAGTAGTTTGTGGTTGTTCCCGTATAATTTAACAACAGAAAGAACACTATACTCCTACAAACCCAACTACTTTATTGAATGACTTGTTATACTCTTACTAAGGAGCAACTCCTGAAGGCAATACAACTTACGTATGCACACTACAAACCATAACTTAGCTCACCACTGACACAAATCTTACAGTTATTTCAAAAGTTCCTTGAAATGAAAAATCTTCCATGGTAGATCTCTCTTGGTACAGCTTTGCAAGCATTTGGTCACTCCTTACAACCGCAACAAGAACTAACCACTACTATACGACTGAGTTCCTATTTTCATTTACAAAGTATTCCAGAACATTCCAGAGGCTTACAACACAACTATTTTGGCTGTATTACATCATAACTAGGTGACCTTTTACTAGGTATTCTAGAAATTTCTAGATACTTATTTTTACAGTTATTTTCCATAACACTAGCTGTGGTATTGTCTTTACCTCTCTCATTTGGCTCATTTTCTTTTAAGGGTTGCGCGTAGATGATACACAAGTGGACCTCATGGGAGGTTCAGATGAAGCTTCTCATGAGAGACCTTCCTTTGTAGTGCCTACAGGTAGGGCAGTAAGAAGGAAAAGAGAGAAAAAATGCTGAGCAAGTTGTCATGAAGACATTAATATGCTCAGGAAGGAAAAGAAGGAAACAGTTTTAAAGATAGTCAGACACAGAGTTGGAAGAAAGAGACAGGTTACTCTGTTACTAAATCAATCGAAAAGAAGACGAGGTAGAATAAATCTCACAGGTAGATCAGTTTAATGTAGATATGGTAGTCATTTTATTGCTTTTCTCACTTACTCAAAACTTTAAAGTTCTTTATCTGAACTTCTGCACCACTTTCCTTCACAGTTAGATTAGAGTGCTAGATTAGAGTGCATGTACCTTTGAGGGTATTTTGACCACTGAGTTTTCAAATATTATTATGTATTTGGCCTTCTCACCTTTCATTAACCCTTATATTCTTGGAAGTGACCAACATTTGACCTCTCATTTAACCTTGTTCCAACAATCAGGTGATGACAACAAACAATTGTGTCTGTTCGAGGGAGTTGTCTTGATGGATCAGTAAACTCTCTTTCAATCTTAAAAAAATGTGATCTAAAAAATTAAATTATCAAGAGAAGGAAAGGTGTTGAAGGGAAAAGGAAAAGGAAAGAAGGGTTTAGTGAAAGGTGGTTTTATCAACTAAGCTGATAACGTAAATTGGCCACCATAAAGAGTTTAAAAGCTGATGTTTCAAGTGTTAGCCCTTGGTCAGCGAAGGGCTAATGCTCAAAATGTCAGCTGTTAAACTCTTTATGGTGGCCAATTTACATTATCAGTGGTACCTCCACTGATGCAGCACCACAGTTTCTTTAGAAACTTACCCTCTTTAGTGAAAGAGAACTAGTGTGATTTGTATTCCAGTAAAAGAAGGAATATGTTATCCCTTAATTAATTCTTTTTTATTTTATTTTTTATTTTCTTAATTAATTCTATGTCAGGCTTACCAGAAGCTGCAGAAGCAAGTAGTCAGTCCAACCAGCGACTCCCAAGCACTGGCTCAGATACCAGGCAGCTCTCATTAGAAAGCTTGGAGAGCGAGTCAGAAGCTGGCAGTATTGCCACTGTTCCTGCTATCATGGTCACACCTGTCACTGAAGCATCGGAGGAGTCATCTGAGCAGAACGTGCCAGTTTCCCAAGCTCATCCAGAGGTTCTTGACACAGAAGTGGTGGAGCTGTTGGAGGATGTTGAGGCTATGAAAGAAGGAGAGGAAGGTGATGAACAAGAAGCAGCAGAAAAAGGAAGGTTGGTAGTTTGAGGGATATAGTAACTGTAAGAGATTTTGAAATCTGCTGCTACTCTTGAATAAGGGAAGTTAAAAGGTTGAAATTCTCCACTTGAAAATAGGGCTTTGGTAGTCTGCTCTTTGTACTTTAAAGATAACTACTTTGCATGTCCAAAAGCATAACATTGATTTCTGTAATGTGGTATTGCTATTTTGCATAGTGAGTTAGAAGTCAAGGAATCACAAGAATTTGCCCCAGAGGACATTTCTCAGCCAAGCATTTCAAGTAAGGAATGGAACAAAATTAATTACTTACAAAACCATTGGAAAATTAAAATTTCAGACAAATATCAAACCATAGTGTTCAGAGTATTAACATCACAGGATTTAACTTGCAAGTGTTAATTGTAGACAGCAGAGATTGCTTGATAGTAGGTATTGATATTAGGTTCTGATTGATTTTACTAAAAAAAGTGAACTGGGAACTACTGGCAGTGGTTAGTCATTTTCCCACCAAACTTTTAAATTTAAAGCTAACAATAGACCTACTACTGGTTTCATCTTTAAATTTGATCAAATTGAATCCTCTCCTAGTATGTTTTAATTTTTTTTTTTTTGGTAATCTCCCCCCTTTAATTATTTCATCGCAGGTGAATCCTCTAGAACTAGTGCCCAGTCTGCCTCAACAACATCAGGAACTGCAGCTAAATCTAAACAAGGTTTGTTGGTTCATCTTGTTCACTTTCACAAGTTAAACTCAGTCAAAAGGTTTTGTATGATTAGGTGAGATGAATACAATAAGAAGCAAGGAGGGGATATAGTTTGTTTAACTAGTGATTGATGTACCCAGTAGGTGAGATAAGGGTTTAGGAGCAGATTGAAAATTGTTCGGAAATTTTGACTCTGCTGCAAATTTCATTTGTTAGACAAGAAGACAAACAGTAGTGTAGAGGATTCAAGAGTTTTTGCCTATTTCATTGAATGCTTTGTTGTAGACCTCCACATTTCCTTGAGCATTATTTGCTATTTTTGCGAGGGGTCATTTTAAGCTGTAATTTAAAAGTCAAGTGCTCAGTGTTGGTGAAGATAGATTTCATTGTATAGTATTGCTAACATAAATGATTTTTTGTCCTTCAAAAATCATTCGTATGCTGAATAAAAGTATATGATAAAGTGATATGGTTGATTTCAGATCTAAATAGGGGCAGAGGTACAGTTGTACAGTTAAGAAGGTCAGCCACAACATCTACCTGGAGTACAAGGGGAGTTACCCAAGCTCAAAGAGGTAAGAGACTTGTGGTAGTTCTTGTAAGTGTTTTTGTAATGCTTAGCCCTAGAACTCCTACAAGCAAGTGACCAACATAGAATTTCTCCCTGCAATTTCAATACAATATCAAGCAGACAAGTGATGAGAATACAGAAAAATATTGATTAGGGGATTGTTAGTTGATCCAATACCAAATTCTCCAACCTCACATCTTAAGAATTGTATGGAATATGGCAAGGATAATTCCTTATGAGATCTTTGAAGTGAAATTGTTACATTATGTTGAGTAGTTGTCTGTTCCTGAAACTTTCTCAACACAAGTTTTCTCAAAGTGGAGCCACCATCCAATCAACCATCCCCACCATCCAATCAACCATCCCCATCATCATTACAGTGATATTACTGCTACATGTATTAGTACCACCAACAACACCATGGTAACCATCTCAACGAGTAGATAATAAAAAAGATGTAAATGTTATTTTAAGGTACCTCTGCATCAGGAAGAGTGCGTCGACTTAGAAGGGATCCTGTTAGAGGTAAGATTTTGGATCTTGTTTCATTCGCACATGTAAGGCCTTCAAAGCTGTTGAAGAATGGCAGTAAATCTCATGAAAACTTGTAGAGACGAGATAGTTAAGCCCTGTTGCACAATCTCTTCTTTATAGGCAACTACAATAAAGAAGAACAGAGTACTGCAAATGAATTCTTTTGGTTTCAAACTCTTAAACATTGGATGGTCTTTTGTTTCCCAAGGTTGACTATGTTTAAAATATTTGTCACGATTCTCCCCTTACTGCTACACATCTTGTAAATTATTTAAGACAATTTGGTTGTACATCAAGATAAAATCACAAGTGTGTGTATCCCTGTCACATGTAGGCTGAATATACTCAGAACAAACTGATTAATCGCGTATAGGAATAAAGGCTCAGCATCTATTCACTATTCTAGTGAATGTTAAACTAAGGTTAAAATGTATCAGATAGTTTAATTTAAATCTTTGGAATCCTAAGCCATAGCTCTGTGCTGAGTATTCAACTCAATTTTTAATCAGAAACCTCCATGACCTCTGGCTTTTTGGTTTCATATACTGAGATATCCATCTTGCCTTTTTATCAGGTCCTGGTGCTCATCGTGGTCGTGGGACACAAATGCCCCGTGGTAAGCAGGGCGGAACTCCAAGAGGAGGAGGAGGCCAAGCATGAAATATGATCTTGCTTATAACTAAATTGTGTAACTTAGGATCATTTTTATAGTTTTTGTACAGAATAGCTTCTTGGTTTTTAAGAATCTTGTAATAAAGTTAACATACAGTGTATAACGTTTGACTGTTTTTCCCACTATTTTATCTGCCTCAAGTCTTGTGGGGTTTGGGTATCCTTCAAGGTTAACTCTTAACTGCTTCCAGTGATATAAAGTTCAAACTAGTTTAAGCAGCCAAAGAGAACCCCCTGGGCTTATTTGCATTTGTACTTATGTGGTGAAAGCTTAAATGCCCAATTTCCACAGGAAGCAAGAAAGCAGATTTCAAGCATTGTATAGCCCAATCTTGTTCACACAGTCGCAGTCCAAACCAAGTTTTGAGCAATTTATTGCAATTTACTGTTTATGAAGACTCTAGTTTTGTTTTTACCAGCCAACTAGATGTTAGGAAAAGTGGGTTCTTTCTAGGGCACATTAATTTGTGACAGTGGTCACAAGTTCAATGGCTCTGGGGCAATGACCATGAAATGGCTAAATTGTGGCATTTTCTAACCCCCACCCCTATTTCAACTGTGAACTTTTGATGGAATTTCATTTTCATTATAATAGAGACTAGTTTATGTCACAGCACGTTGGAACTTGAAGAATGGTCTTGAAACAACTGGTTTAAGCTAAACACTAACAAAACAAAATCCATGTTTATAACCGGAACTAGACTGTGCGCAAAGATAGACTCCCTCAACCAGATGGAAATCCGTACCAGCAAAGGAGATATACTGGAAACTACCACAAGCTTCTTGAAGTATACATTGACTCGGACCTTTCTTTTAATGAACATGTTGAACATTTATGTAAGAAACTTGCAAAGCGTATAGGCGTCCTGAGATCAATTAGGCATTAACCTGCCTTTTAGTGAGTGCCTATTGTTCTATAACACAACTATAAAGCTTTTGTTCCTTTATGGCGGAGCAGTGTGGAGTATGACATCCAAGGCAAACAGACGTGTTTTTCAATTAAAAGAGAGCTGCCAGGACTATACTAGATATTAAAACTAAAGAAGAATGAACTGTTAGCTTATTTAAGAAACTAAACTGGATGTCTTTTCACTATGAAATTAACGATAACAACCCATGTCTTATTTTTTAATGTATACAGGGGCAATGCCCAGAATATCTTCGCACTAAGTTAGTCCTTGTAAGTGAGACATCGGAAAGATCCTCGCATTATGGGCACAAAACACTACGCTGCCCCAAGTACAACAGGAAAACAGAAGGGGGTAAAACCCATTTAAAATCATCAATTCTACTGTGCAACTTTTTATCTGTTAAAATAAGATCTTGCGAAACTATCAACTCTTTTAAACGCAAATATATTGAGCACATAAAGGAGGGGTAAGCTAATATTGATCATTTTCAAATATCCTAATAATCTTAACTTTTATTCTATTGCATGTTGATAGCTTGGTCATTTCTATTATTGTAATTACTATAGTTAGAAATTTCTAAATTACTGCAATTATTTGTAACTTTTTCTTATTGTAACTTAGGTGAGGGCCACAGGTTTCTTAGTCTAACGACTGTAAAGTGCTTCCCTCGTTAAATAAAGTTATTTATTTATTTTTTATTTATTTGACACATCACACCTGAGTGATTTACAAAGTGATCACATACTTTCTAACAACTTGAGCACCTATCTTTGATGATGTTCCTATCACTCTTAGTTGCTTAAAGAATTAGTTTTAAGGTACCTATTGCAGTTATGGTTAGAACCTGGGATTTAAAGTCAGTCATACAGTGAGGTCATCTACAATAGTTTGGTCCTGAAATGGGCCACTGCTTGTAGCAGTGATCGGTGTTTCAAAAAGCTAAGCAGAAGTCATTAGAGAATCAAGTGGAGAGTTGTATGTCCGTTGAATGTTACAAGCTTGTGATGTGAGACGAATTGGTCTCTTCTGCTGTGATATCATTGCCTGCAAGGTGAGTATTTTAACCCTGTAACCCCCAGAAGTGATCAACTCATAACTTTTCACTGCAGCTCCAATAAATTTTCATGTAGAGGTTATGAGACCAGATGAACTTGTCTGCTAGAGGTCCTGTCTAATTGACAAGGAAATGTATGACAAGTCAGTTGGGAGAAAAACTAATTAAAGCTGTGTAATGGTGCCTGATTGTTTCCACTCGTGGGGTTGTAATGGACTTTAAAAAAACCTCTCTCAAAGTTAAGTGGCTGAAGCATATTTTAATGCATATTTCTGCTAGAACCATGTGTATGTAACTGAGTTTGGTAAACTTGAGGAACACACACCTTTTTTATCCTTGATCCTTTTCTTGAAAATGATTTTGATTGGAATCTTTTTGGTTGTATTGTCCTCTTGCATCATAATTGTCCTATTCCTGTTCTCTTGCCATTTTTGAAAATTTTTTATTATTGGGCTGATTCAATTTTGCCCCTTCTTATGTCCTTACAAGACCCCAGTTGTTTACCTTCATTTTTGTGCAATTTAAATGCAGACATGATGAACTTACTGTTAGTGCAACAGTTATCCCAGATGACTTAAATCAGGATCATTATGTCCTCTTTAACCCCTCAAAGTGACTAGCATCTTGATTCTCCTTACAATATCACCCCTGAATCAAATATTAAGGTCATAAGAATAAAGGATATGATCACCAACTTAAGAAGCTCTTGATTACTAAACAAGTTCTTATCAGAACCGTAGGAAATGTATAGAGAACAGTATGGAGAGTGAACCATCCGATGTCAGGGTGTAGAGGGTTAAACAAGACATGATTTACTTCAATAAAACCATACAAAATTGTACAGGGTAACCTAGTATTGACCAGTATCCAATCCACTACACAGAGCAATACTATATCTTATTAACCAAGCGCGAGGGCCATACTGGGAGAATATTGGACGAGGTCTTGGCAGTACAGACCAAGCGCAGCGAGGTCCGTACAAAAAAGACCGATATTCTTACAGTACGGTCCCAAGCAAGCTTGGTTAATAAGAGATTTATTATATGAACGAAGTTCAAAGGGACACAAGTGCGGTATCATTCGGGACCATTTGGGACAGTGCCCGGTCCAATACTGAGAGAATATTGACAAGCAATAGAGCATTTTGATTGGTTGATTTTAGTTATTGGCCCTCTGACTGCCTGAGTCGTAATAATTCTGCATTACGAGTCTGTTCACGCTTGAGAAACAGGCAGCTATGAAGTTCAGTCTTGTACATAGACTAACCCTTGCATTAGCATATCTATGAAAAAAGAGACCAGACCCTTAAGAAAATCACTTTTAGTCAAGCTTATCTAGTCTGTAAATATTGTTTGCACGTAGTTATTTCTTTTTGTAATAACTGAATTATTTTACAGTAATCAACCCAGGAACTGTTCTAAAGTTACAAGTGATTATGTTGTCTTAAATTAATAGTCAGGATGATGAGGATTTGCTGGGAATTATGCTAAAAGAATTTCTCTGTTCTTCCTTGAGGTTATTGTCATAAGCTACCAGCTCCATTAAATTCCCATCTGTTGAACTGCTGTCAGTGGCTGATGTTTCATTTGTATGTGATGTGTCTGGATTGACAACAACCACTTCAGAACAAATGTCTTCTTCCTGGAATGTCTTTCCAATTGTGTGAAAGCCTAAGGATGAACTACCTGCACTTTCCTCTCTGAAGATATTTGAAAAACTGCCTGTTTCAGATAGAGTTTTACACCTCTCTAATGCATTTGAATTTCCTGTTTTTTCACTTGATCCTCCTTCCTCTTTGCTGCTTATTTCATTACTGGAAGATTGATGTATGCCAGGCAAACTTTCAGTTTCACTAAAGTAATCTAATTTTTTGATTGAACAGTTCTGTTTTTGAGCTTCATCTTGAGGTAAATGTTTTTCAATGTCCTGCAATACAGACTGTACCATGGTGATATCAAGAACAGGAAGCTCAGAGATAAAACTGTCCAATATGCTGACAGCAATTCCATCTGCCAGATCTGAGCTGAAAATACTCCAGTTAAGATCATCAGTTACTGGGTCCAAAACCTACATTTTGGAGTGAGGAAAATAATTCTCTCTTATACAGTTAGCACAAATCTACTATGATACCTAAAACATACAAACAGACTTTCAATGAAAATTGTTGACATAACCTTTAACTTGCAATATTAAATTAGTAATTCTCCCTTTTGACTGCCATAGATTTCCTCTTAACTTAGACAGGACAAGTTGGTCTTATATCAAAGGACACCCTTTAGTTGATAAGTTTGTCTGTCCTCATCACCTGTTTGCAAGATAACATAAAGGCATTGCAAGGAGAAGCCAAGTTTTTCTTATGGGAAGGGTTAACAGTGTCACAAATTTAATTAGAAATTCATAAATTAAAAGTAAGGAAATGGATATTTAACTTTTGCAAGTATGTGCCATGTACCTTGGAATACTTGGGTCTGCATCAACAAGTTCTGAAAGGTTAAGCCCCAGCTTAACCTTTCATGTGAGAGACACTATTTGTTTTCTCTCTGTCCAGAGGTAAATCAGGAGAAATGGTACCTATTTGCAACCAGATGGAGACACCTGATGGAATGCTGTAGTTGTTAGTGTAAGCTGTTATGTATTCACCCTCTTTAAATAAAGTTGACTTACTTACTCAGTGCTAGTGTGCACATCTCATGCAAGGCAAGTATTGATCTTCATATTAAATACTGGTTTCATAAACCAAGCCATGTGACCATTTTAGTAATGGATCTGATTCCTACAATTTGACAACTAGGCACGTGTCACGAAAACATTCTCTTTATATGACTTATAGCAGTGTATGGAACATAGAAAGATAATAGGGACACTGACCTTATGGCTTACAGAGTTTAAAACTTGTGTTTGCTTAGATGATGTCTTTGTGTTTGTTGGCAAGTTTTTATTTTCCCCACATGCTCTTGCCACACCATTGTCAGAATTAGCTCTCAAAGTCTTGTCAGGAGTGTCACTTCTGTATTCTTGTCTAGCTGTTGGCAACAACACTGGATGCTTGGATTGGTTGGAGTTGGCTTGGGCATACACAGGATGGAAGGTGGGAGGAATGCCACATGGGTAACTATGGTGACATACTCCTGGCTGGAACCACATGTGTGGTGGTGGTTGGGCTGGAAACTGCTCTCCCCAGTACTTTTCCCAGAGTCGCCGCTGTACTTCCTGGCCAATCAGAGTTGTGTTTGCTAGACTGTAATGAGCCACATGTGTTCCAGCTGGGAACTGAGGACCATTGATGTTATGTTGGTAATGACTCATGTTGCAAGCTGAAAGGGTATGTTGAAAGCTTTGTCTGAGAGGGTAAGATTGTGATTCTTAAAATAATCTTACAGTGTCATATTCTAAATTGCTCTGATGAGGTTAAACTTGATGATGAATGTTGTTGATGATTGATGTGAAGTTATCTCAGAGTCAAGTCAAGTTTTAAGTCAGTTTTTTTTAAAGTAAACCAACATCCAGCAACCTTAAATTGAACTCAACAATCAAACTTTATTGGCCATTAAAACTAATTAATTTGTTGCTGATATGAGCAATTGCTTACATTTTTTCATCAAACATAAAAGTTTGTGATATAGTTACAACCCTTGGGTTCAAAATTACATATTGTCCATCAAAGAGTGTTGTAAGCAATTGCTTCAATTAGCAGAGGAAATGCTTTGCAAGGTTATCAAACTGTCTTGCACTACTAATTCATATTAAAAAGGGAACTAAAAGGAAAGTCATGGAGAAAACTTCTACACCCACCCCCTCCCCCCAAGTCATGGTAATCAAGACAATTTGTAGAGGTAATAACATGATTTCAAGTGCAATTTGGAATAAATAAGCATGAATAAATTTTTTCAAAGACTTGCAAAATTGCATGAGCCTGTAGGGTGAGTGCAATTTGTGGTTTTTGAAAAAATTTACAAGTGCTTATTTATTCCAAACTGCACAAGAAAATCATGTGATTATGTGTTAATAATATACATGAAAAAATACAAGGTAACTTCTCACAACTATACAGAAGAAAAGCATGCACATCACGTGCAAAAACAATTTATTCAAACCCTTCACGTGACATTGACCTTGACATTTTACCTTGACATTGACATTGACCAATCATTCTGACCAATCAGAATGTACTTTCTTTGCACTGAATTAACCCTCTTCTGCACTGAATTAACTCTCTTCTGCACTGAATTACCTGACAACTGCATTCATCTTAAACAATCACAACAGAGAAACTTTTTCATGTATATTATTAGATGGGTAAAATGATGAAACACAAGACCAGAAGCCTCGATCAATCGTGTCCTATGCCGTTTTCATCGTTTTTCTTTGGCCAACAAAACACAAGATTATGGGTGCAGAATCATTCAGCTGACACTCATTGTTTAACCCATTCGAGGCAAGATGGTGTTCATTACTAGTTACTGACAATCTATAGAAATACGAGAACGTTTGTTAAATGTGACCGATGGATAAACATCAATGGAACGTTACACGATTAAATATTATCTGCTACCTCAATGCGATCAATCGAAGTTAGACGTTTGATTTTCCTCTTAAGGCACTCGCTGAAAAACACTTGTGTAAATATGGCGTTCGTTTGGCTCGCAAATGTTTACAGTTTGTATAGAGGTTGTTTTACAAGAAGCCATAAGAACCAGCAGGGTGTCACATTTACGATGACGAACAATGCATCTTCGTAAAGCGCGAGCACTTAGATTTTATAGATTTGGGGATGGTTGCGCGTACACAGGCTCGAAAGGGAATTACTTTCTTTGCACTTTAAACATATGTACTTACAGGGAACAAAGCGACGTTTGGCTATTTTCGCTTCCTTTGAAGGCATCCTTGTCCACCATTTTTACTTTTGTACCCAAATTCCCAGTATGTACGCGGTTAACTCATACCCAGGCCGTCGTACGCTAATCAAAACAGAATCAGTGACCATGAAAAAAAATCACCCACGGAATTTGAAATGTAATTTTTTCCGATTGTTTCACACGATTGGAATTGTTTGAGATTTTAAATTCCCATCCTGCAGTCGAAAAAGATCGTGATCAACGGGAAACGAAGAAATCCCCAATCGTCTCGGTTGTTTCGACATGTGAAAACCTATTGTAAATCAGCCTTTCATACGCTGTTTTGAATTGAGTTCCACAGCTGCACCTCCACGCTAAAAAGAAGGGAAACCCGATTAGATGGAGATCGTGATCAAGGGTCACAGCAGCAATCCCAATCACACCCTCCTTCTGGAAAGGAGCCAGAATGACGCGGACGATCCACAAGACGAGAAGGGTTCATCTAAAACATCGTGTGTGACACTATAGAAATGGTCATGCACCAGGTAAGAGTTATTATGCTTTGATATTGACTGCTGCCTTTAATTGCTTTGTTTCAAGTTGTCTGTGTCCGGTTCACGGAGGAAGAGCCTGGGAAGAACATCCTGACAAACTTCAACCTTGATTCCCCAAATGAATTTCCATTCTTTGCATGTATTTATAGAAAACTTCGCCAAAAAATAGAATAAATTACTGATTAGTTATATTTGGAACTTGCATATGCGGACTTTGCATACGTGGACCAGTACATCAGTGAAAAGTTTCTCATTGACTTAAAAATCCCATTCATTTCTTTTATCCAGCTAAATCTTGGGACCACGAACTCATATCTCGTTGTTTTGGTGGAATTTTAAAAGTTGATGATTTGAATGAAAATCGTCTTAAAATGACTAAAAGAAATCGAGTTATTTGAGGTTTTTACTAAGTTTTGGTATTACTTTGAATTGCAATTAATCTATAGTATCATCTGCTTCCCTTGCGACAAGCGCATACCGAAGATGCAAATTGAATTTAAATCGTATTTTATCCTCGTAGTTACTTCGAAGGCTAAGAATCATCTGGAACCATCGCTGTCAGGTAACTTTGTTTATTCTGGCGGCTTTTGATACGCATGCGTCATTGACTTTGAAGTCATGGGCGGTAATACGTGGATAGGTAAAGAAGTTCGTGTCCACAGGCTTCAGATAATGTGATTAACCGATAGAAGATTTGTTTCTTACAAAGAGATTACAAACTAGAAGATATTCTTAAATATCAGTATTTGTTCACGACTCGCCATCGGAAAGTTGTGTGGCACGCTGGGGAAAGGAGAGGTTATATGCTCTCTCACTTCATATACTCGGTTCTAACTGATTATCCCTCTCCCTGGAAGCACAATGCAGCTGAGAGGTACAACCCCCCTTTACTCTCTCATTTCATGCACTCGGTTGTAACAGACTGTCTCTCTCCCCCTGTAAGCATAATAGAGCTGAGAGGTACAACCCCCCCTTTACTCTCATTTCATACACTCGGTTCTAACTGATTGTCCCTCTTCCCCGTAAGCATAATACAGCTGAGAGGTACAACCCCCTCCTTTACTCCTCATTTCATACACTTGGTTCTAACAGACTGTCTCTCTCTTCCCC